TAACGGCCTTTAAAAATATTTTCTTCTTTACTTCTGTCATTATTTAAACGGATCTTTAAAATACATTAGAGGACTATCTTAAAGAAATCTGTTTAAATAATGACAGAAGTAAATTAACGAATACGAACATACTTTTAAAGGCCGCCAATATTTTTAAAGGCCGTTAAATATAAAGGAATTTTTACAGAATAGGCCCCATAGGGGTCTATTCTGTAACAATTCCTTTATATTTAACGGCCTTTAAAAATATTTGGCGACCTTTAAAAATATGTTCGTATTCGTTAATTTACTTCTGTCATTATTTAAAAAGATTTCTTTAAGATAGTCCTCTAATGTATTTTAAAGATCCGTTTAAATAATGACAGAAGTAAAGAAGAAAATATTTTTAAAGGCCGTTAAATATAAAGGAATTGTTACAGAATAGACCCCATAGTCAGGTATTTTTTTCTTGGAGAAAAAGCCGGTTTGTGTCTTAACAAGGGATTTTGACCTTTATTGCGTTGTAAATGCTCATGGCATAGTTTAAATTTCATACCTGCTACGAATTTTGACCTTTATTGCTTCGCTATTTAAGAGTATTTTTCCGGTGAGCAGGGATTTATCGATTTGTGTCAATTTGTCAATGGATAATTTGCAGTGTTAAAATAAAATAAAATTTTATGATAATTTGTTCATTGTTTCTTTTTCTATTGTGTAATAAATCGATGAAGCGCTAATTACTGGATTATTGTAATTTTTTGGTTAGCTAATTATTCTAGGTGCGGTGTTTAGGTAATAATTTGTCTTTTGGAGAAATATTGAAGGTTTGCTACGTTACTTATCGCCACGAAATATTAAACCGAATTCACTAATAATACACGGAGATAAAGCGGCTTCCGGACAGCTTATATACAAAGGTTGCTTATTTCTTTCTTCTCTCATCTTTTCTCTTCACTTTCTTAGTACTTTTTTATTAATTAACAAAAGCATAGTTCCTGATAAAGGAAGCTACGCTACTAAATGCCGGTTAATTAATAAAAAAGGTACCCTACTCTAATTCTATCTCTACTATCCTATTTCCTTTTAAGTTTTTTCATTATTTTATTATTTTTGGGGTTTTTTTGTTTGATATAACCATAGGGTTATAGGGGATTTAGATTGTTAAATCTATTGTCTAAATTATCTGTAGATAATTTTAGTATTTTTGGGGATTTAAAACCAATTATATTTAATTGATTCCTTTTTCAAATATATTTAGGATACCACTTCATGGTTTTAAATTAATCAAGGGGGTAATTATTAGTTTACCAACTAAGCTTAACTTTGGCTACATAATTTTAAGTTTCAGTTAACTTTCTGAATAAGTTAACCTTCTGTTAACTTATTTAGTTTTAATATTGTTATTTTTTCCACACAGGTGGATATAATTATCAGACTAAATGGTCTAGAACCTCGTTAAGGGTATATCGTTGGGGAATAATAGCATTCCTTCATTATTATCAGTCTTTTGGGCAATTTACGTAACCTCAGGGGTAGTAAAAGACGTCTTTTAACCACCATTTTTCTGTATTGCCAATATAAGTAGCTCACACACACATATGTTTCATTTTCATGCACTGGGAGTATTACCGATGACAAGTTAAGCCAACAGACCAGAAAAGTTTTGAAAGTTAGTCGATCCAAGTGGAAATCGAGTTCCTCAACATCAGAACGTCGGTGAATCTGCAACCCATAGAATTGAGAGACCTTATAGTGTACAAGGCTCCTTCCTGAATAAGAACCAAATGCACCACCACCTCGTTTGAACTTCTGAAGAGGCTCGATTACCTCCAGAACCAGCAGGACCATCCCTCAGCTTAGTCATCCGGTAACTTAAACCGAAACACAGCCGAGCTTACTTGTATTTATTTATGTACAGGTTACTTAAATTGCGAATATCATTTTTTTTTCATTTTTTATAACTATTTAATACCTAAGTTTTATAATTTTCTACATTTGGAACCTTCAGTTCAACTTTAACTATATTTTGTTCTTTTCCAGAACCCTCAGTTCTGTATTTGTCAATTATTATTATTATCTTATACTTTTCTACATTTGGAACCTTCAGTTCAACATTAACTATATTTTGTTTTTTTAAGAACCCTCAGTTCTGTATTTGTCATTGTTGTGGACAATAAAATCTAAATTGAATTTATCTGTTTTAATTTACCTGATATTCATTTGAATTTGAACTTATCGTATCTTATCTTGACAGTTGTCATAATATAGTTTTGTTTCCTATTTTGTTTTTCTCTGAAAAAGTATATTTTTTTAATATAGTCAAAACAGGTGGCGCCTTGTTCAAATTCAGATAATCATAAAAGTTCCAAAATAAACAACTGAGAATTCACAACCCTGAGTATAATAAATTTTACCATTTTCCTGTATGGAAAATTGTAAAATCTTAAATTGAGCTTAAATCACTATAAATCTGTCTTCCAAATCAGACAATTCCAGGTAAAGGCTTGCATTGGCTTTCAATGGGCCTTAACACCTTTTAGAAAGCAATGAAACTGCTGCACGAGATACAGGGTGTTGAAATTGAAAAACAAATTTCTACTCCACTGGAAAAAGTACGGTTTTGAGACGCCCATTTGAACCGCCAATGTTTTTACACAAAAAAGGTACTCTTGGTCATACGCTCTAAAGTCGACCGTTTTCGAGAAAAATCAAATTTTGTTTCATCAAGTAGGTTTTAAATTTCAAAACAAAAGCTACCGCCTGTCAAAATAACAATTAGTTTGTGCCTGCAAAAGATAAATTTGTATTATAAAATGCAAAATGAAATACACAAACGCTGAAATGTGCGAAATGCATTACCTTTACGGATTGGCGGAAGGTAATACGGCAGAATTAAGGCGGTTGTATCAAGAAAGACATCCTGATCGCCAAGTACCACACCTTAACTTGTTTCAACGCATTCACCAACGACTATGGGAAAACGGAAGTTTTAAAAAGAATACTGCTGATAGTGGGCGGCCTATGGAAGTTGCAATTCCCCAAGAAGAGGCTGTCCTCAACGAAATTGAAGAAAATCCGACCACAAGTACCAGACAAATAGCTCACAACTTAAACTTATCTCACTCAACGGTGTGGAGAACTTTGAAAAGACAACTTTTGTATCCCTATCATATCCAAAGAGTACAAGACTTATTGCCAAGAGATTTTCCGCCAAGATTGGCTTTTTGTAGATGGATGCAAGACAAAATAGCTCAAAATTCTCGGTTTGGAGCCGAAGTTCCGTTTCCGATGAAGCATCTTTCTCGAGAGATGGTATTTTTAATTTTCACAATAACCACATATGGGCTGAAGAAAATCCACATGAAATTGTAGAACGCCGTCATCAGCAACAATTTTCCGTAAATGTTTGGGCTGGCATCGTCGGTGACAATTTGATAGGCCCATATTTTTTGCCAAACAGATTAGACGGTGCAGATTATCGACAATTTCTAGAAGAAGTACTGCCGGAGCTGCTAGAAGATGTACCGCTTCACGTAAGGCAAAACATGTACTTTATGCATGCTGGAGCTCCGGCCCCCTTTAGTTTGTTTGATCGCCAATAATTGGACGACGAATACCAAGACCGTTGGATCGGTCGAGGAGGTCCACACCCTTGGCCCCCGCGATCTCCCGACCTTAATTTTTTAGATTTTTTCTTTTGGGGCCATCTTAAAACCCTAGTCTACGCTACTCCAGTTTAAAATGTTAACCAATTAAGAGAGCGCATTGTTGCATCTTCCGACATAATTCGGAACACTCCGGGAATTCTCCTGCGTCGAAGAATTGCTGCGTGCATTGAAGCTAACGGCGGACATTTCGAACATTTAATTTGACTGTGTATGATTTGTTATTCTTTTTTTTTATTATTTTGCAATTATGAAGTTAACGTTTGCTTTTGTTACTTGTTCTAACGTTTTAAAATGTTGTTTCATTAGTAAGAAAAAAGTTTTATTTCCAAAAATTGACCATGTATTTCAACATTAAAATTTTATTTTTCTCGAAAACGGTCGACTTTAGAGCGTATGACCAAAAGTACCTTTTTTGTGTAGAAAACATTGGCGGTTCAAATGGGCGTCTCAAAACCGTACTTTTTCCAGTGGCGTAGAATTTTTTTTCAATTTCAACACCCTGTATCTCGAAAATGGAGCATTTTAGAGGGTAAGTTAATAAAAACGTTTTTTCATATTTTTGGACGAGCTATCACGTCCTGAAGTCCTGCACATATATTATGAAACACCCTGTATAATGCCTGCCAAGCATCGCTTATGAAAAATGCCGTCGAATCGTGGGACGCACCTGAGGTCTCTCCCCCAGTCGTTGCGGCTATGATAAGACCTATGCTAATATACGGTGCAGTTGTTTGGGTACCAAAACCCAAAAATTGACAGCTATCCGAAAACTAGAACAAATCCAAAGAACAGAATGTATCAACGTAACAGGAGCCATGAAAACCACACCGACCAGAGCAATGGAATCATTCTTCGTCTCCCCTTGATATTTATATCAATGAGCTTGCTCTGATGACAATGACACGCCTCCGCTCGGGTGGAATAGAGGTTTTAAGTACAATTTAGTGGAACGGATCTTACTTTTATTGCAAAGCATTCAAATCCCGCGAAGCTTCAAATAGCACTCAAGCTTCTAAAACCTTCGAAGAATATACAAGACTTCTTGTGATATAAAAACTTACACAGGTGAAAAATGTTGGCTCGTGTTCCAAAAATGTATTATTCTTGTGTATAAAGTAAGAGCAAGTCTATATGAAGTTGTCAAACTTGGCAATGATCTTGAATAAGACAATTAAAAACAAGAGATATTGATGTTGCACACACAATGTGATACGAAGCAGCGGTTTCTTTAAAAGTTAAATTACTCCAAGATATATCTTCTACTTTAAAATTGGTAAGTTTTAAACTTTACAAGTTTCAATCCTACTAATTTTCTTCTTTTCCTAAATACATTTAATAAGCTGAGCTACTTACTTTGTTTTAATAAAATAGTGACAGTAAACCAGGTGCAGTCAAAGAACAATCTAGTATATGAACGAACTTTAAATCTGGGTTGCCACAAATTTGGTAAAGCTATTAGTAAGTAGAAGATGGGACCAACTATAAGTACTGTTATACCAATTGCAGGCCAAACCTAAAATAAATTTAAACAAGTTATAAAAGTAATTTTAAAAAATCGACTTCAAAATCGTGCAGATGCCATTACAAATTAAGTTTGCTGATTTTCTCATGGATATCATCACCAGATCTTGACCAAATTTATATGGAACCAACCCTAACAAAAAAAGAATCGTAGAAATGGGATAAAGTGGTAAAGAATTATCGCTGAACATAAATAAAAAAAAATATTTTTGAAATCGGTTAAAAAATAAATTATGAACTTTCGTTACACCAAACGTAGAAAATTGAGTTATTCAGTTTTATGTACCTTTCTTAGGAAAAAACACCGATATATAATATTTTTAATTTAATTATTGTTCACACACTATGTCAGGTATTTATTTCTGTTTGTAGATTCACTTTAAAAAAAACCCGAATTTAATGAAAGAAAGTAAAATGGCTAAAGACCATCAATAATATTTAACTTGCAAATTCAAAGAATTGATCTACAATGCTTTTAGATACCGTGAAAATTGGTGGGCAACAGTATGGCACGTTCAATAATTCTGATTGGTTAAAGCAATGAGACGGTTATAACTTCTTACTTTCCAAAATTGAGATATTATATTAACTTGTTGATCTTTGTGTAGAAGACAACAATATTCGAAATTACTTTTTGCGTTGATTTATTTTATATTTGGATTAGAAAATTGTTAAAAAGTGGATGATTTATTCGTTTTTTAACAAAACTGTTTAGACTAATTTGAAAAAATTGGAAAATCTATCTCTATTTGATAACGTGTAAAGTATTTTCAAATAGCCTAGTCTGTATGTGATTTAACACAGAGCAATTGTATAATCTTCATAATATCACATTTTTTTAAACATGACCTTAAGCATATAAAGGGCCAACTGGTAGAATAAAGCCAAACTAGCATTTTGTAATCAGTTAGGCAGGTTCTGTGTTATTTCGAATATATTTCAACTTTAACTTCCTACACAACTTGCTAACACTCAAAACATTTTACTGAGTTCATATTTGGTAAATCGTCATCTTGTATCGTCAGTACGTGCAATACCTTAGATAAAAGAGACCAGGGATATAACATAAACCGGTGTTTATCCTGCGCAAATGTTGCCAATTTCTAAATAAAGATTAACGGAGTGGGGGAACTGGGGGGAGACCTGAACTCTGTGACAGGGACGGACTATGTTAGCATCATAATGAACTATTAGATTTATTTAAAATATGTTTAATGGAATTTTGTATTATGAAATAAAATTAACGTCATTTTTTAATTACAAACAGATGCCACGACATTTTATGTAAAGAGAAGACCTTTTATAGAATATTTCGTTTGCGTTTATTTACTACGGACTTTCCTGCAAGAGACTACAGTAAAATGTTGAAATAGAATATTGTTAATAGAGCAAGAAATGGTACTCATTGTCTACGAGTAGTATGTGCGCAGGCGAATACTGCAAATCAAACCTTGTGAGTTGAATATTATAGTTTTCTACGGCTATTACATGTTATTAAAAATTAGTCAAAATGAGAAAATGATGTTTGTATTGTAACCTTAGAAAAAGGTATATTAAAGCTTATTTCTTTAGGAATATTAATTAATATAGAGGATGAGTCACATAAAACTCTAGAAATGCATATGTGTGAAACCAAATAACATTTTAAAATTTAAACCTATTAAAGGTCATTTGGTCGCTAGGGGTGGGTGATTATCGAAATAAATTATCGAAATAAATTATCGATTATTTTAGATCAATAGATTATTATCAAACAATCTATTTTTTGTCGTATTTTCTTTAAAATCGACTACTTGATTATCTTTGAAAAATCAAAAACAATCGATTAATTAAAAAGCCAATTAACCGATAAATCATTGTTTACAAAAAATAATAAAAGAATTATCGTTTATTTTATATTATCGTTTATTTTAAATAATCGATTATTTTCAAATAATCTATTTTTTTTCGTTCATTGAAACAGATTATTCGATAATCTTTGAAAAATTGAAAATATTCGATTAATTAAAAAGTCGATTAACTGATAAATCGATTTTCAAAAAAAACGAATTATCGATTATTTTAGATAATCGATTATTATCAAATAATTTATTTTTATTGTATTTCCTTTAAAATCAATAATTCGATTATCTTTGAAATACCGAAAATAATCGATTATTCCAAAATAATCGCTTATTCGAAAATAATCGATTAATCTTAAATAATCAATTAATTAAGAAGCCGATTCTACGATAAATCGATTTTCCAAAACAATAACCGAAATATCGAATATTTTCTAATCCTTTTTTTTTTTCATATTTTCTTTAAAATTGAATATTCGATTATCTTTGAAAAATCGAAAATAATCGATAAATCGAAAATAAACGATTATTAAAAAGCTGACTAACCGATAAATCGATAATTCTAAAAAAATAACCGAAATATCGGTTATATAAAATAACCGATTATATTCGATCAATTGATTATTTTCATATCTTTGAAAAATCGAAAATAATCGATTAATTAAAAAACCGATTAAACGATAAATCAATATTTCCAAAAAAAATCGATTATTTTCAATCAATCGATTATTTTGAATAAATTTACTTTCCTTTTTGTATTTTCTTTAAAATCGATCATTACATTATCTTAAAAAAACAAAAATAATTTATTGAAAATAACGGATTAATCGATTTTCATAAAAAAAATATCAGAATAATCGATAAATCGATTATTTTTGTAAGCCCTATCGATCGCATTTGCTCTAACATGTAAAGATTCGAATTTTTTGATCCCGTTATCTTTGAAACGGCGTCCGATTGTATAATAAATAATTTGTATTTTTTAGTAAACGAAAATTTTGTTCAAGTTGTTAGGGGTTTATAGTGCAACATTTTATTAACAATATGACTAACTCCCGTAACTTTAGTACTTTTTTTGCTTATACTAGATCATATTGTGCGTTTTACTTTGTTTTAATACTCAAGATTTAAATGTCACTTCCCATTTGACCGCAAATAAGATGAACCTTGAAATTTTAACTAGGTCATCCTGTATTTCATCTAATATTTTTATAAAAATACCTTATAAAAATAAAATTTAGCTAGCAACTATGCTACTTTACTTCTTATTTATCTACCAAAAAGGGTTAAAAACCACCTTTGATAAATATTCTTATGAAACTACTTTTTAAAAACAAAATTTCGTTAGCAACAATGCCTATTTACTTCTTATTTAAATTAAATGTTCAAAATATCCATTTGTAAATTTATGTAAGTAATATGAAATCTGTTTTCTGAAATATTTATTTGATGCTTAATATTTATTAAAACCCTTTAATGCGGATCTGAAGTATTCAGCCCAAAGGATCATGGCGCTTTTTGTGTCAAAACGTTAACAAATATTTACCGCTGAAAACGAACATATTTTTTTTATCTTTCAACAAGATTGGTACTTGTATTATAAGTATATACAATTTTTCAAGATACATCGTGGCATTTTGAACTTGAAATTGAATAACTAGAACACTATAAATTGCTAAAATACCAAAAAATAAATCAAAAAACAGTTGTCAATTGTGATTAAACTCAGGCGGAGGTGAGCGTTGAATGGAAATATCGGAGCAATTCGGATGGCGTCGTGTAAACAATGATTTTAAATTGGTGGGTTACTTGGAATTAAAATAGACAACATGGGCAGTGTGCAATGTTACATCTTCGGTCTACTTAATCTAAGTGCAATACCAAGGATTTACGTGAAATTATTTAAAGCAAATCTCAGTTATATCGCAAGGTGCGTTTATTGGGACCTGCTCTTCAGTTTTTATTGACGAAAAAGTACAAACCTAAAATACTTAACGTACGCTAATGATTTAAATTTTTTGTTGAAATACGAAATATAAATGTTGTGTTATGACACATACCAGGAAAAAATCATATTTTACTTTCGATTATCAGATTAATTTCACTACTGTGTTAAGTAGGTCGTAATTTATAAAAGACCTAGAAGGAGTCCATTTTGACAGGGAATTAACTTTCACTAGGCATATCGAGTGTGTAATGTGGTGCTTCAAGGAGTTTAGATTTTTTTGCCAAAAATTCTGGACAATTTATAAAAATACATTTTGAAAAGACTATCCTTATACTTTAATCTGAAAAGCCTTGTATCAAAAAGTCTTAAAAAAGTTACATTTTGGGGGTAAAAATAAATAAATTTTATAAGTTATACCTGCCACTGAAAAGGTCTTAATAATGCTAATGCCTCATTAAGTTGACTAGGAGCATGAGTGACAAAAGCTCCACTGTCAGCAAGGGTTATAAATGAGAATTCCACAAAATTAAATCTTTCATATGTAAGTCCCACATCTCCGATATATAAATCTGCTTCCTGAAATAAACAAAGTAGTAAAGAATTATCGCTGAAGTCGGTTAAAAAATAAAAGACCTTCCTGCATTTCTACAGTAGGTACACATAATACAAAAGTATAAACTTACCCTTCTGCTAATTAATCCTATTACACCGCTGAAAAATCCGCTTTCTGAATCAGATGTTCCTTGAATCCTTTCTGGAGGATCAAAGTAATTAAATCTAGGAAGTACAATTTTAAAATTACATGTAGAAATAAAGTAATGTTATATTTATTAAATTAATATTGACCATTGGTACTAATAGTATTTTTTAATAAATATATAGTGTCCCAGAAAGAAACGGACAAATATTATTTATTCTTTATACAGGGTGTGTCCGGAAATTAGACGGTCATGTTTTAACAGCGTAATCTACATCTTAAAATAGGAGTAAAATTTTATATAAACATAGGTACGAAAACGTTTTGTTTCCGAGATGCAGGGTGTTAAAAGTGAAGTCCTGATGACACATTTTTGTAAATATTTTCTAAACTTTTAAAGATAACTAAGTGAAATTTGGTACAAATGTTAATCTTTCTACGCTCTATTTAATGGATTAAATGCCAGTTTTTGATCATCTTCATAGGTGGGTAAATTAGGGGAAAGGCTTAGGGTTAAATTGTCCTAAGTTTTTTGTTGATTGTTTTTAACCTTTTTGACTACAAGATTTGGAAAACCAATATTTTCTTTATTATAGTGTTATCATTTAAAATTTGGAAGGGCCGCGTAAACGACAAAAAATCGGTCCTTTAACAGTTAATGAAAAAAAAATTAATATTTAATTGTTTTAAATCATTTACAGACAAACATTTATGTAAAAGTGTTGGTGACACAGTGGAATTAGTTAGTAGTACGCTGGATGTTGGGAAATCTACGATTTACAGAGTTGTTAAAGAAGAGTTTCAAACAGCAGGTAAAGCTCCAGGAAAACCAAAATTTCAATTAGAAAATCTTTTGGAAGAAAGACTTCGAAGGAAAGTGCATGCTCTCTTCTTCGAAAAGAATTTCCGACAGTAGACAAAGTTCTTGCCACGGTTCGAGATGATAAGGATTACCCTGAAATAAGTCAAAGCACACAATGGAAACTTTTAAAAGAAATAGGTTTTCTATGGAAAAAGCATTCCAGAAAGTCTATTTTAATAGAAAGAAACGATATTGTAGTATGGAGAAGAAATTACCTAAGGACTATAAAAGAAATGAGAAACCAAAGAAGAAATATATTTTATTTAGATGAAACATGGATCAACGAGGGACATAAACCAAATAAATTTTGACAAGATGAAACTGTTACAAGTCGAAGACAGGCTTTTTTAAATAATTTATCTACTGGTTTAAATCCACCATCAGGAAAGGGGCGCAGACTAATAATAGTACACATCGGTAGTTCAAACGGTTTTGTTAAAGGTGGTTTATTGACTTTCGAATCTACTCGTACCGGTGACTACCATGAGGACATGAATGCTGATGTCTTTAAAGAGTGGTTCGAACAAATTATAGATCTTCTTTCTCAGACCTGTATAATAGTAATGGATAATGCAAGTTATCACTCGAGACTTATAGAAAAAATGCCCACAACCAAGTGGTTATAAAAAGATTTACAGAATTGACTAAATTCAAAGAATATTAAGTTCCATCCCGGTTCTGTGAGAAAAGAACTGTATCATCTGTGTTCCCTTCATAAAGAGAAATTTAAAAAATATGAAATTGATGAAATTGCAAAAAATCGTGGGATGACGGTGGTTAGATCACCACCATATCATTGCGAAGTAAACCCGATTGAACTGATATGGGTACAGATAAAGGGAGAAATTTCAAGAAAAAATAATTCTTTTAAAATGAGTGATGTTAAACAGTTGTTTTTGGAGGCTGTAAATAATGTGAAGCCTGAAAACTGGGAAAAGGCAGTAAATCATACGATTAAAGAAGAAGAGTAAATGTGGAAGTTGGACAATATTACTGATGAAATGATCGAGCCACTCATTGTAAATATTGGTTGCGACAGTTCATCTTCTGATTTCGATTCTGATTTGGATTTGTAGGTAAGAAGTAGTTTTTATATTAAAATTATTATTTATGAACGTAACGTTGTTTAAAAGTAAAAGTTTAAACCCTTATACCTACATAACCCGTTTGACACAATGTTCTTAACATACCTTGTGGAAAAATAAAACATTTTAGAAAAAATTGCACTTTTTTACCTTCAGCTGTTTAGAAGTTATAAGCAGGTTAATTAGGTGAAAATATAAGTGTATACTCGAGGAATAACTTCAAAAAATATTTTAACTGTCTACTAAAAGAAGTGGTACGCCTATGGATTACGAACGCTTTATTACTTTAATACTCTCTCATACATAAAAATAGACTATAACAAAGATGTCCAGCTTGTGCTCAATAATTTGTTTGACTAAATTATATTTGTACTTTTTAAAAAAAATTTACTTAATACCTACTCTACATCATTTAATAGATTGTGAACATGTCATTAATGTTAAAGAAAAAAATATTTTAAATAATTAAACGAAACATTTGATTTTTGTTGTTTTCTTATTATGACACCTTCAGTTTTTTTAATTAAAACAGCCGACTGAAAAATTTAATCTACACCTCGGATATTTGATGACCTTGACAAGAAAGGCAATTTTTTATCCTTTGCACATAAACGATTATTATTACTATAACAAAAAGTATTCTAATATTTTAATAACTCAATAACCTATCACCTGAAATTCAGTTTCTTTGCTAACAGTTTCAAAATACGGTCATCTCTACCTCCAATTACTTCAATTGTTCTATTTGTTATGGAGTCGGTTGAGTTTCCGTTACTGATGTTGTTGTAGTTTACAAACAGCCATGGTGGTTTCTAAAAAAGTACCTATTTAAGGATATTCCAACTGTATAACAAACTTTCGAATAGCAATTTATTATACTCTTCACACATTAGTATGTGAAGAGTATTATAGGTTTTACTTTCAAGAAACCAAAATTTTTAATATTTATGAAAATTTAAAAATGTTTGTACCAAAATTCTTCTCATCAAATATTAAACAATTTTAAAAATGTCCGTTCGTCACTCCGATGTCACGTTCTTTATACGCACGATAAGCCAAAAACGAAAAACAATGTGAACTTGAAATTTTTAGGACATAATGAAGGGGATTAAAGCATTCTATATATTCATTCTAGTTTATCCTGTTTTTGCAATAAATAAACAAGGGAAATGATTGCAACTTAAATGTAAACAAGACGTAAAATAAAATAGAAAATAATTCACGAAGCCCTATGGCATGCAAAATAATACGAGTGACCGTTTTCCATCGGAAAACCACTACTTCTTTGGCTAATACCTCAACAGGCATTTAATTATATCCAAATAAAAACAGCAGAGATAGAAAATTATTTTCAACACTTTAACTTTGATTTTGCTTACTACGATGTTATTCTTGGACTGGTTTCGTTATTGTTAGGGCTCATCAGCAAGTAATTGACATTCTCAATTTACCGTTATGTTAAACGTTCCTTTTTAATTCCTTGGAAATGTTCTAAAACATTCAACAATATTTTCTATACCAACCTGGTATAAAACATTCAGCAATATTTTCAGTACCATCCCGGTATAATATGTCGCTGTTGTAAACCATTTAATCGATAAGTTTGGTCTTGCGCAGTCTTGCAAGCCAACGGTTTATAAGGCATATTTTGGAGAAATATAGCACTTTCCTGTCCAAGAGTTTCTCTTTTGAGAGGTGTGTTTTGTGTTTGTTTTTCTTATGGTATGCCAAAGGTCAGTATAATTGTTTATTAATCTAAACTGCGTGATAAGTGATTTGTAGGATTAACATCTAACTTTGTAAATTATTACGTGAGTTCAATAAATTGTCTTTAGGTTTTTCAACAGTACTGTCACGAGAACGCCTGAGCTGACTCTGTCTAGAGCGCGACGTGAAGTCTGCCACCCGACTAATGGTCGAAACCGGAATCTTCTAGGTATGCCGCTGACGCATAGGGCAGGCACTTTCGCGAACGCTTAAGGTATTATTTCGGTAGACACGACAGGAGACAGGAGACCACAAGACGACCCCAAGGTGACCCCAAGGACGACAGATACATTAATGTTATGGCCCGCACATTTGGGAAGCAATGAGACCGGTGACGCAACACCCGCAGACAACCATTCAAGGGAACGATCAGCGTTGCCAGACCTACTGTTTTTAAGTATATCCACTGTTTTTGTCTCTAGCAAATAGTTAAAGAATATTTTCTCTAGTAAATTTTCTGCAGTAAAAGCAGCGTAATAAGCAGCCACTATTGTAGGTTTGTTTTTATTTAAAATGCAACAAAGAATTAATAGGGCAACATAAAAAGAACATGCATGCCAATCACAACGTATTTGAATTATTTGATTCAGACTGATCTGAAAGAAATACCTTTTATTTTTCATTAGTTTTTTTTTGTTTCCTCACGTTAAGTATATATTAAAAATTTTGCTATTTATTTTTCGTTTCTTGTATAATTGTTTGTTTTTTTTTTATTTACTACACTGTAAATTATAATTATTTTCTCATGTACTATTTACCTTCTTTAAAGAGCAATATAAAACACACCGGATGTTATTGAAACACATGATACGTATTAAACGAGATTAATATTTAGACTCTCCTGCAATGTGCAAAAATATTATTTTGAAAATTTACTTAATATAACTGAGAAAATGACTAAACTTTGAAAATAAATGTTCACCCTTTCAGGATGGAAATTGTTTTGCCGAGATATATATTAATTATAGAACCAAAATTATAGAAAATAATATTAGAAGCAAATTTTATTTAAAACATGTTCTTCTCCAAACGTAAATAGCCGGAGAGGCTAGCATCCACTTACTCGCAACAGTTAAGCAGTGATCTCTCCGGTCACGTCGTGGATGCGTGACCGCTGGGGAGGTTCCACCATGGGCCGTGTCACCATGGGATTCATCCGACTAGCGTTTAACCATCGACGACGTGGAATGAATGAGGGTGTGAATGGGAAAGTAGTAGGACCTTCAAATGGTGGTACAATAATCCGCAGGCTGCAGTACTGCCAGACTACAGACGGATTAACACGGGGGTTTATATCATATGCAAAATATGCCAACCCGTTTACTGCGCAGACCACCCGGCGCTTGGGTGCTCTGAAGTCCGTTTGACAATAACCAAATTGTATTAAAATGTAAAGCACACTGAATAATTTAATAACTTCTCGCTCAGTAACACAAAAAAGTATTATTTCAATAATTTTAATTTATATATTAAACCAAATTAAAAAATCATGCCTTCACTTAGTTATTTGTACAATGTTAACCTGTCTTTATGTCCGCTACATGCCTGCTGGCTCCCCCGTGTGCCCGCTGTTACGGTGACGCGCGCGCTGTCAACAAAAAGCAAACAAAAAACAATATGCTTATGGTTGCCGTCGACGAAAACACGTGAGTGAGAGTATTTTTATTTATTTTAGTTTTAGATATGTTATGTAGGATTATTTAAAATTAAGTAAAGGTATTTTGATGCTTTAACGAGTCTTTACCAGGGAAAATTCATTATAAATACATAATTTCCAAATCAAAGAAAGAAATGGTGCCACATTTTAAACAGTCCATGTGAAACCAATCATGAATTATGAGATAATTTTGATACTGCTAAGATTTGCTTTGTCTTTAGCACCCTCAAAACCAGATACCCCGAAGATAATAATACTTAGTAATGTTGTTATCACACCTCCAGATTATTTGTGTTACATTTTAATAAGATAGATCAAAATTTCAAAGACGGTCAGTCATCAATTGAATTTGAATCTTACGTAAGAAACAACGTTTCGATAATGGATTTTTAAATAAATTTAATAGAAAACAGAAAAGTAAAATTTGCAAATTAAAAGAGGCCCTATAATTAATTCCTAATGTAACGTTTAAACTACAGTCAAAATTTCAGAATCAAAGATATTTCAACAATTTAATTCAAAACTATTATAATGTAGGTTTGTTTAGGTTTCTTTAAAACTAGATGCAAACTGTCCGAGAACCAGTGAAACAGTTTAATTCCAAATTATTTGTCGCATACAACTATTAAACTGTCCACTGGTCAACTAGTCTTCTGATATTTAAAATGAAACAAAGAATTAATAGGGCATCATAAAAAGAACATGCATGCCAAACACAACGATTTTGAATTATCTGATATCTGATTCAGACTAAAAGAAGTAGGTACCTATTATTTTTCATTGTTTTTTTCCGTACATTATTTATTTTTATTCTTTATTTACTTTCTAATTTGGGTTACAAAATGTTTATTTTTCGTTTCTTATATACCTACTTGTTTTTTTTATTTACTACACTACAAATTATAATTATTTCCCCCTGTATTAAAATCTACTGTTCAGATCTATGTTTTTTTTCACCCATACTGTTCCAGCATCTGGCAACACTGCCTAGATCGAAAAAACTTTCCAACTACCAATTCTATAAAATACCGACTAATCACCTCCAAATACAAGCGATGTCTGAGGACAGAGTGCGACAGGCAGCAAACGCTCTGCCCCAAGACCCGCCGAGACCGATCTAAAGTGTCGTCGACTTCTGTCTCTCGGACGTGTCGCGCATTGCGAAATGTGTTTTATATTACATGCGTTTAGACGTGAAGAGACCGTTCTCGGTCGCCTTTGCCGTCGTCCTTGCCGTCGCCTCTATGGTCGCTTGTTTCCTGCCGCGCCTACTGAAATGATACCTTTAGAGATTCTTCCAGCAGGATTGGTTCTTTCTGGGCTGTTACATTTTTATATAAATAGCGCGAGCTTGTCGACGGACAAGAAGTTCCAATTTAAGTGCTGTATAGAAGAGATAAATTGTAATAAATAAATTAGAATTGTGAGTTATAATAGTGTCTAAGTATAATATAAATTAATTAGTACGTTATAAATATATTATAAATAAAGTGTTTTATATAAATAAACTATAAATAAATTAAACAAACCTTATAATATAGATTCATGCAAATAAATCCCCAGCATAGAGATGGGTGATTTGCGCTTCGGGTCATATTTGTTGACTTGGCAGATAAAATATAATTCATTTTTGGAAATTAAACATGAAAATTAAAAAGTTTACATGGATTTATTAACAATTTTCGATGTCCTTAATCATATTTAACCACGCTAATTGCACATCGCTCCGGTGGTCTAGTGGTTATGATAATGAAACGGAAAACCAGAGATCGCAGGTTCAAATCCCGCTCGGAGCGAAATTTTTCCAATTTTTCTCTGGTTTGTTTTTATCCCTAACGGTTCAAGAATTTTTTATAGTTATAGTTGTAGACATACGTCACAAATTAATTTCCTTTACTCTAAAGTGAACTGACTAAAACAAAAAAGATACTACAAAACGGCGCGTTCTTAACATGGTCCTAGCTTATTTTGTAGTCTTTAAAAAACAAAGTTGTGTATAAAAAAATTAGTAAACGTCAAATATATTTTAATATGATTTCGATTGAAGTTTTTGGATCATGCTCTTAATAATCCCTTAAGTCCCTCTCTGCCTAATTTGGGCTTCTTACGTCTCCACTTGTTCGATTACCAAGAATATTCAAAGAAATTAATCAACCTCCGAAACCCCTAAGGATACCCCTTTGACAACGCACATTAGTAGAATAAATCGCAGTCTACTAAGTTCTAAAATTTACCAGAAGCACCACAGTCTATAAAATGGTGGATCCGCCGTCGTATTTTATGGTGGAAGGACGTCTAGCGTTTTCGTAGAAAGTTCTGGTGAAAGCGAGAAATAAAAATTAAAAATTATTAATAATGAAATTAATAAAAATTAATTATTAAAAATTAAT